CAGATTCCTACTTCATGGACCAGCTAACCCTAAGTCTTGGATACTTTTGATACACTGGCTGTTTTTCAGGCCCTTGCAATCAGGTTTTCATTCCTAATGCTAGAGTATGATAAATATTTTTGTATCTACTCGTGATTTCTTCATATTTTAACAATGATATTATTTTATATTGATTTAATAGCATCTATGGAATATTTACATATAACTATTTGACTTTAAATTTTATTAGCACTTGAGGATGCAATGTTTCATTTCTGGTAAATGCAGGGTGCAAATATACATCACATTGTTTGATTGGGCTTGGGGGGGGGGGGGGGGGGGGAAATGACATAATTAATGGGGGAAATTGGAGGTGAAGTAATGAAGTTAAAGAACTGACATTATGTCTGGTTCAATGGAGTATGGGGTAATCGGTGTTTAAGAAACATGTAAATTTTGTATTTCATACACCTACATTCCTTTTTTTGGTATAACTCCTCCATAACCCCCAAATTGGAGTGATTGAGAGATAAAAGTAAAAGTTTTGCAGGATTGTATAGCTAATCCACCTTCTTCACCTTCCTCTTTACACACCAATCCTTCACTTTCCAACTCTCCCTGGTTAATCCACACGCAGAAAAAGTGCCAAGAGCACTAAACTAGTAAATTTCATGTACTTTACTATAAGACAGTCTTGAAAAGTAAAAGGTATGCATCATTTCAATGAGTTAGGATAACCTTTACCACGAATGTATTAGTAAATTCGCCTTAATCTGGTCAGGAATTAGAGAATGGTATGTAAGTATGTTAATGGTTAGGAATATTGATTTTGGAATCCCTGTCCAATTTTCTAAAGAAAAATGTTGAGTATTCTAGAGCCTCGTAGAGAAGTGAAAAATTCTTTTCGGCCCTATATAAGAGAGTAAAATTTTGTAGAACATGTAAAAGGGTAAAAGTGTGGAATACTTTAAAATATTTTAGAAAATGATGGAGTACCCAAGATTCATTTGGAACATTTTAGAATTTTATGGTTATTTCTTGGGAAGCTCTAAAAAGTGAAAGGAGGAGCAGTCTTTAACTTTAGAGATTTTTATATTATAAATACGGATCAAACTCCTCATTCCTCAACGCTTGATAGACTCAAAGAAGGATCATAGAATAGTTAGATGCACCATGTGACAAGAGAGAAAGAGCTTCCTATGATAGAAAGAACCCAAATATGTGTCATGAATAATGTGAGGTAAAGACAGTGAACAACATATATCAAAAGCTTTGTTCTCTATTTGAAATGCTCCATATTAAATAAAGGTCAAGTCCAACCGGAAAACAGGGCAATGTAACTATGTAAGTAATGTAACAGCACTTTCATTAATATTTTCACAAATACATACAAAAAAGAATAACGAATTCAAGTATTCTACAAACTCAATACTTTCCAAAGGCCTAAACAAACACGTAGAAACATCATATAGAGCTAGATGATCATCAACCAAACTTAACTAGAAATCCAAATCAGGACCTCTAGCGCTTGCACTCAGGAGGAAGACCCTGTGGGAACCTCTTCAAATCAGTACAGTAATTATAAATCATGAACTTCTGTTGCACCCATCGCAGCCTGTTTCTGCCCTTGGCATCAAGATCTTGGCTCTGCCATTCCTGCCCGCCCGTTGATGTTGACTGTGTCGAACCACAGCTCGACAACTGACCAGACCAGACACAAGCATTGGCGTTAAAGTCCCTGTATGAAGCTGAAAAGGGAGCCTTAGACCAATCTGTCTTGACCCGCCCGCCCTGTGTTGCCCAGTCGTCTGCATTCCACAGGCTGGCGTAAACCTTCATCGGCTGATTCTTCGGGAATGGCACACCCATAGCTTCGTTGTTGTTGAACACTCTTATCGGAATGTTATCTATAGAGAATCTGTATTTATAAGTAGAAACCAAGCACTCATTAGTCACCAAGAAAACTGATTTGTGAGATTTTTGAAACTTTCAGGTATTGTTTATTCTTATGCTTACATGATGCGTTGGGGATTCCAAACAATGGAGTAGGTGTGGAAGGAAGCGGCCGGGTCGAACCAAGGCTGGAATTGTTGCTCTTTGCCACCCTTCCCTTGGGAGTAAACATTGGTGTGGATTGTGAATGGTTGACCGGAAGAATTCCCCAAGAACTCGAAATCAATCTCATCATGCATGTTTCATAGCGATGATAACTGCATGTTTTATCGAGATTTCCATTCATCAGAAATATGAATGAATAAATAAAAGCTAATAAAGTAGACAAAAGACATGTATGCATAGAGGGTGATTGAGAGCTGGGGGCGTACATAAAAGGTGGTGACAGTCCCGGCAGAGTTTCCGGGGACAAGCTTCAGCCGGACGTCGAATCTCCCAAACAAAAACTCGTTCTTGGACTGAAATCCGGAGCCAGAGACCTGATCCAAAGTCAGGTCAAGAAGACTGCCGCCCTCCTGCATCTTTACACGTTCCCCGCCGTATGTGGCCTGAACATCCTGGAAGAAGTTGCCCGCAGAGGCAGAGAGGATGACGGAAGCCAGTAGAACTGAGAGCTGCAGAAACAGGGATGTTGAAACTGTTGCAGAAGAAGATTTCATCATATTTGCTGATAAAAACTGAAAAGATGGTTTTTTTGTAGCTTGTTGATGAATGATGGGTATGGGAATGAGTCAATGAGGTAGATGGTTTGAGGAGGAGGATCAGAGCAGTTATATATAGAGACAGGAGGGTAAGTGGGCTGGCAAGCTGAGGAGAAAGCTGGTGATGAGAAGATGAAGGAAGAATCCAGGAAATGGAGGTGGTTGTGTGCTTAGCTGTTGGGTGGGCAGAAATAGTCGGCAAATTACGCACGCGTTTTCTTTCAGTAGGCGTGTGCCTTTGATTTAAATCGAGGGATGTGTCCTTTTGTGTGTTTTTAATGCCAATGATTTGATGAGCCGATTACAGGTCTTGGCTCAGGAGCCAACATTTGACCTCCCTACTTTAATTTATAGGTCTACTTTTATCCGCAAATAATTCAGTCCAGCCGTATTCATTCTTTAAAAATTTTTGGACTTTTGGTTTGGTGAAGACATCCAAATTAAGTGGAATGATCCAATTATATTTGGTTCGATGCCGACTCATCAAGCCTCATGTCTTTTCGTAAAATAATAATGCAATGACGATTTAGGGCTGTAAAGCAACCACAATGAGTTAAGTTCTAGTTCTAGTCCTAGAGGGAATGTGTTGGACTCCACCGATTAGGTATTTTTAAGAATAAGTTATGCAATTCCTTCACCTTAAAATATTTGCATTTTCTCAAGTAATGATTATGCGTGAAGATTTCAGAGAGAAATACATTAAATGACGAACAATAACAAAAATGTGTTCTCTACCACGTATGTTGAAAACACGAATACTTTCTCTATAATAAGTAATAAGTACTACTATACGTATTATTGTATTACCACGTAGTCTTTAATTTGTTTCACAAATATGGAGTATATCTTTTGATATTACTTGGGTGATATTTATGATAGATTTTTTAGAGGAAAATAAAATATGTATTAAAAATCGATCAAAGTAAGAGTTAAAATAAATCAATAGTTCAAACTCCACCATTGCTTCCACAAGACACCATATAGACTAATAAATGCTTATATTTAACCCAACAGGAATGGCATCCCTAAAGAAGAATAGCTATCACGATGAGGCGGAACATTATAGTATTTATTATACCAACATTATTGAGTCATAATGCTATAATCATTAATCAAGCAAAATTATAAAACCAAATCAATTTATCATCGTCAAGCAATAAAAATTTGTCATTTTGATTATCGATGTATAAAAAATGTCATCTCGACAGTAGCATGTGTATGTTAGATATTACAAAAGTTATGCAAACAATGAAAGACTTAAATGTGTAAATATAGACATTGCGATTGATATTGTTAAAAACCATCACAAAAAAACAGATAAAATCACAGAAAGAAAGAAATAAAAGTGTCATTAATTCTTTTTTTGTCTACATCTATCATGTCACATCACCACCGTATAGGATTTGAAAAGGAATCTTACTTTCTTTATATAAGAGTGAGATCAAAAGTCAACTGTCAAGTATAACCCCTCATCTGCCGCTTGATTCCAAATTAAAGGGTGATCTTTGATCATCACCATGACCAGTTTTTACCTATGTTGTAAAACCCAAACCGGATCGGCCGGCTCGACCCGGAAACCGTCACTCGGCCTTCCATCCGGTCCGGTTGAACATCAACCCGGAAAATATGTCGCCAGCGAGAATCGAACTCGAGCCTAATGCATAGGTCGTGAACCTTCTTACCAACGTGCTACACTAACTAGTTGGTATCTTTGGTCGATTAGGAGTCCTTATATCTTATAAGTCTGGAATATCTTAATTAAGTAATTTGTTAATTAATTAATTTATTATAAAAAATACTAATAAATACACACCATTACACCAATGCTGCTATTATACTTCTCGTATATAATCTTCCAAGTTTATTTTATTTTATTTTATTTTATTTAGTTGTATTATGTTCATATTTATTACCCATCTAAATTCCAATGTGTTTTATATTTTGTTAAAATCAATATACTTAAATACAATAGTTTTCTTACATTGCTTATATTGTATTATCATTATTAAACTATGAAGGAATATAATTTTTCTAATTATGAATTTAATCATTATATAATTAATTATATGTATAGTTGTTGACCGGGTTTAACGGTCATTGACCGGGCTGACCCGCCGGGTCCGGGTTGACCCGTGACCCAGTCATCTGTCCGTGTTGCTTCACGGTCCGGTTTTTACAACATAGGTTTTTACTAATATGATTTGAACAATTTTCGCATGTTAGTCAAACTCCAGATTTTATGCAGGACATTGTAGATAATCAATAACATACAAAGTATATCAAAAGCCCAGATATTCAATAAAGGTTTAAGCTCTGTTTGCAATCACTTAATTTAAGTGGTTGTGGTTTTTTTTATAACAAAAAACACTTATTTTACAAAACACTACCAACCTTTATTTTCTCAGTTTTCAGGTAGAATCTATTTTTTATTTTTTCTATCGTATTACACAAAAAACACTTATTTTACCAAACACTACCAACTTTTACTACTAATCACTTTTTCACAAAAAGTGCTTTTATTTAAACACAAGCACTTGCAAACAAAGCCTTAATCCAATGGAAAACAAGACAATCAGGTAATGTAACTGCACTTTTATTAATCCACAAATACTTACAAAAAGAATAAGGAATTCCAGTATTCTACACATTAAAAACTTTTCCCAGGGAATAATTAAATAAACACGTAGAAAGAACATATAGAACTAGCTGATCATAATCCGAACTCGACTAGAAATGCACATCAAGACCTCTGACGCTTGCATTCAGGAGGCAGACCCTGTGGGAACCTCTTCAAATCAGTACAGTAGTTGTAAATCATGAACTTCTGTTGCACCCATCGCAGCCTGTTTCTGCCATTGCCATCAAGATCTTGACTCTGCCATTCCTGCCCGCCCGTTGATGTTGTCTGCGTCGAACCGCAGCTCGACGACTGACCAGACCAGACACAGGCATTGGCGTTGAAGTCCCGGTATGAAGCCGAAAATGGAGCCTTAGACCAATCTGTCTTGACCCGCCCGCCCTGCGTAGCCCAGTCATCTGCATTCCACAGGCTGGCGTAAACCTTCATCGGCTGATTCTTTGGGAACGGCACACCCATCGCTTCATTGTTGGTGAACACTCTTATCGGAATGTTATCAATAGAGAATCTGTAATTATAATATCAATTCAAGTTGAAACCAACATTTCAATAGTCACTAAGCAATTCCAGGACTTAGAGATTTTTGGCACTTTAGTAAGGACTAAGGAGTATTAATTGTTTATGCAGTTATGCTTACATGATGCGTTGGGGATTCCAAACTACAGAGTAGGTGTGGAAGTTAGCGGAAGGGTCGAACCAGGGCTGGAATTGTTGCTCTTTGTTGCCCTTTCCTTGAGAGTAAACATTGGTGTGGATTGTGTATGGCTGACCCGAAGAATTCCCCAAGAATTCGAAATCAATCTCATCATGCATGTTTCCTAGAGACGACAACTGCATGTTTTGTCAAAATTCCCATTCATCAGAAGTCATAATAAACTAAAACTAAGTTAATAATCATCAAGACAAAAGAAATAATGTAAGAAAGGAAATACAAGACGTACATAAAAGGTGGTGACAGTTCCGGCAGAGTTTCCGGGGACAAGCTTGAGCCGGACGTCGAATCTCCCGAACAAAAACTCGTTCTTGGTTTGAAACCCGGACCCGGAGACCTGATCCAAAGTCAAGTCCAGAAGTCTGCCGCCCTCCTGCATTTTAACTCGTTCGCCGCCGTACGTGGCCTGCACATCCTGGAAGAAGTTGCCGGCGGAGGCTGAGAGGACGACGGAAGTCAGAAGAACTGAGAGCTGGAGAAACAGGGACATTGAAACTCTTGCAGAAGAAGACTTCTTCATATGTGCTGATACAAATAAATTAAAAGATGTGTTTTTTAGGCTTTTGGATATGGGAATGAGGTAGATGGTTTGAGAAGAATGCAGAGAGGTTATATATAGAGATGAGGGTAAGCGGGCAGAAAGTTGATGATGAAGAAGAGGAAGGAAGAGTCCACGAAACAGAGTTGGTGCGGTGAGGTGTTGGGTTGGCAAAAAAGGTGGGCAAATTACGCACGCGTTTCTTTGCCAAGGTTGTATTGTACGATACAGGCGTGTGTGGCCATGATTGAAATGAAGGCCATATCTTTTGGTTTTTGTTTGGTAATGCCAATGATTTCATGAGCGGATTGCAGCTCTTGGTTTAGGAGTCAACATTTGACCTCCGTACTTGAAAAAGGCGGTTATTTCAAATGTGTTCAAATAATGAGATAGTGCTGTTCTCTGGACTAGATGGAGATCACAAGTTCCAGGTTGGTTCATAAAGGTTTTTAAAAATGTTGCTTCAGATCTAATAAATTTGACATTTGGAATATTTTGAGTTGATTTTATTTAAATGAACGTGTATTCCGCGAGTACTAATGGTCTAATTATATACAGGAAAAACACATAATTTCTTTTTCGAAAGGAAAAACACATATGAAATGTTTAAGGGAGTTAGCTGTGTGAACGTGCAACAATTGGTGTGTACACGGCTACACGCCTAGCGTGTACATGAAGAATCTCCCAATCCCAATTGTATGCACACTCCTTCATCCGTCTTAAAATGTTGCGCAAAGTCTTCATTTTATTTGATAACAATTGTATGCACCCCATCAAATTGAACTTGATAATATTGTTTTTTCTTGATCGATAATAATTAAGTTCAATCAATGATATCTTCTTATACCCAATTTTTTTTTACCGAAAAGCCACAGTTCTTTTTTTTTGAATGGAGGTTGTTAGAACCGGAGGATAGAAATAGTGAATTATAAGTGAATGAAATATGGCTGGATCGGATATCACTTCTAGTCACGTATTAAATACGCTTTCTAAAAGTTTACTATCTACCCTTATCACAGTAACCGGGTTACAAGATAGAACTTTTGGGATAAAAAGAAGGTGTGTGGTGTATTTTAGCTACTGATAAAATAACACCAAACAAGTGATTTGTATATAAAGTGGTCTAAACACTTTATTACCAATACTGCAGATAGAAGTAATAGAGTAAGACAATTAGAGAGATTGACAAAATGAATTTGCCGTATCATAAATTCAGCATAGTCCCTTTATGATGGATAGTCTACCCGGGGGGTATCTTATCCGAGGGGTTATTGCGGGAATAAATAGAGAGAAGTCAGAGCAGAATAGGAGGAGAGAGAGTCTATTTATTAAATGAACTCAGCGTGTTTTACAAGGAGAGTAAAGGCTGCTATTTATAGCAGCAATAAATGCGATGAGAGTACACGTGTCAGTAATCCGACGGCCGAAGGGTCACATCAGCCGGTTGGCACCGGCAGTGGTACGTCCACCGCATTGAATGCGGTTGGCGGATGTGACATGGCATTAAATGCGGTGGTTGGCTGTCTCTAAAAGGAATCTCTGATGATTGAGCGTGTTTGGCCGAAGGTTCCTTGTGTAGCCGAGGGCTCCATGTAATCGAGGACCCCTGTGCGGCCGAAGGCCTGGTGTGACCGAAGGCTTGGTTCAGCCGAGGGCTTCTCCGATGCCGAGGGCTTGATAGTGCCGAAGGCTCATGTTTTTCGCCGTTTTCTCCCAGTAGCTTCTTATGCCAGAGAAGGCTATTCTGTGAGTTTTGGAGCCTTCGGCCAAGGAGGTCGAAGGCACCCCGGTGTGTATTCTGGGTCACCCTGAGGCTTGGGCCGTGGTATTTGGGCCTGAGTTGTTCCCTGGGCTCAATGGACTTGTGTAGGAGAAGTAGGAGTCTATGGGCCGGGGGTTCCTGGGCCATATACTCCATCACTTTATTTATACATGGAATTATATCTCTTTGAAAGGAGGCCAATCAATGGCGGACCCACTAAGGGTCCCACGGGTCCCGGGACCCCGTGGACTTCCAAAACAATACATATATATTATTAATATTTTATATAAAATTAATTAGTACCTGTATATTTATAAGCATAGCGCCTTTTGAAGTGATTGACTTAAGCAGTGGAACGGGTGAATGTTAGAGGCAAAATCCTTCTCCTGTTGCCGGGGTGCAGGGTTCGATTCCCTGCAAGGCTCCTACTCCCTTTTTGTCTTTTTAATTTGCATAATTCATTTTGTAACACCGTCCCCAAATATATTTACTTTTATGTAAATAATGTGTTGAACCTTATTAAAGGATTGATGAATTTACGAAGTTGTAAATTTAACAGATAACAGCCCGAAAATGAATTTCGGAGACTTCTAAATTAATGTTTTGAAATATATATTATTTCAAGAGGCCATTACGACTGGGAACACGCAATATATTTTATTTGATCCGATAAAATAAAATATAATTAAAACAGTCCGAAAAATACAACTTTCGGGACCGATTGTACACTTCGGGACAAAAAGGGTTGACCTCCCACATGAGTGGGGGCCAACCCACGAATTTGGACACTCAATTAGAGTGTTGGCCGGCTGGTGGGATAGGGAAATATGGGGAGGGGATTGAGATATGAAGGAAATGGCATCAAAGGTACCTAAAGTGGACCCCCATTCTACACTCATTGGATTAATGAGACAAAAGCTCATCCCCATCCCTCTCTCCCCTCATTGCCTCGACCAAGCTACAGCAACCAAGAGCAAGAAAGTCTTCATCCTTCTTTCTCCATTATTGAAGGGAGCACAACAAGAAAGTATCCCAAGAAAAGAAGTTAAAGTGCTAAAAGTGTGAATAATTAAGGTAATGACCTTATTATAGCTTCTTCTTTATTTTTCTTCTACCATATGAGGTATAAAAGTGTTATGAGTATAGATTCATGGGGTGGAAGATGGTTCTAAGTCCAAGAACGGACTTAGAGGCCAAAACGACCGGTTCACCGGAAAATAGCCTTTTAGAGGTTATTTGTATTAATATGGGTTTTATGATTATAAAACCTTGTTAGGCACTTGTAAAGGGTATTTCAAGTGATTTCACAAAGTTGGAAAAGTCGCCGGAGTTGTCGCCGGAGTTGACCAAAAGTCGCCGGAGTTTCACCGGAGTTCAACCAAGAAGGGTAGAACTTCATAACGCTAGTTCAAGGTGAGTGGACGGCTTAATATCTTATAACTTTTGGGTTAATTATGAGATTACCTAAAAAAATGTTATATGAGTTCATAATGATGTTTAAAAGATATTTAAACATGTGATTAGCCAATAGGGTTAAGTTTGTATGAAAGAAATTAATTGTTGATGCATGGAATATGATATGAAGAATTATATGGAATGCATATTCGTTTGAAGTGTATTAGAAGTACAAATGAATATTATTAACTTAATTATATGATGATTAAGTTGATACACACAAGGCATGAAATGGCGGTCAACGAAAACGTTGACCGATGGACAAAGGATTTAATTATACCGGTTGGTATTAATTAATTATAAACCTATATAAATGCATGGTTTTGCATGGATTGTGATACATGAGCTTTATGTATTGAATTAGTTATGAGTAACTAAGTATGATATAGACTCTATCTAGGTTGATAGAAGGTTGATCATAGGAAAATATTTTGGTGGAGGACCCTAGTACTTAAAAGTACTTAACACTCAAAATTTGGTGGAGGACCCTAGGACTTAAAAGTCCTTAACACTCGGATTATAAAATTTGGTGGAGGACCCTAGGACTTAAAAGTCCTTAACACTCGGATTATAAATTGGTGGAGGACCCTAGGACTTAAAGTCCTTAACACTCGGATTATAAATTGGTGGAGGACCCTAGTACTTAAAAGTACTTAACACTCAAAAATTGGTGGAGGACCCTAGTACTTAAAAGTACTTAACACTCAAAACTTGGTGGAGGACCCTAGGACTTATGAGTCCTTAACACTCACAAACCGGTGGAGTACCCAAGGATTATGATCCTCAAAACTCATAGATTAAGATATTGAATAGGGGCAAGGAGGAGTCCTATACACTCATAGGTATATGGGTGGGTTGGGGTTTTTAGTCAAGAATATTGACTATTACTATTTTTCCCAAATAAAACGGTGATCTACGGATCAGATATTTTCCAAGTATATATATATACTAATAAGTATTTCATAACTTGGGGGGGAAGACTATCTATTTAAGTATCACCCTATGTTTGGGTCTTATACTTGAAACGCTAGTTATTCTATATTTAGCCTGCTACTCGCTCGGTACTTGTACTGACCCCTTCGGGGGGCCCCACCATTTTCAGGTTGAAGCTAGGGCTTGCTACTTGCACCTTCTCACGGGTGATATCAATCAGGAAGACGTGGTTCGTGCTTCCTTATTTTCTTTCAAACTACCGAACACTTGCTCATGGATAGTTGTTTTACTATAAACTATTTTTGGGGCTGGCATGCCCATGTTGTTGGCCGGTTGTGGCCCAAGACTTACCGTTGAATATTTACGCTATTCATTGGTTTAAATGTGATGTTGTTATGTATGTTTACTACTGAGTATGGATGGATTGTTTTCTCGAACGCCTTGTGTAATTAAGTGAGGTTGACTCGTAGGTGACGTCACTTAGTTATACGGCGGTTGTACACGCGCTTGGATTGCGGTCTGGGGCGTGACACATTTAAATTTAATCTTTTTGCATGTTAATTTATTTAAATTTATACTTTAAAACTCCCTTCATGTCTTTTTGCATAATTCATTTAAATTTAATCTTTTTGCATATTAATTTATTTAAATTTATACTTTAAACCATCCGTATTGAATTTGAATTCCCAATCAATCCACTGCTTAGTTCTTTGTTCATTTTTTACTTTTATTGAATTTTAACCTTTGCATAATTCATTTTGGGACTAATTATTAAAATTTATTTGAATGTTAAGATTAAATTATTAATCTTAACTTTTATTTGATTATTAAATATACTACAACTAAAACATATACAAAGTTCAAAAAAAAGGACGAAATATGTTTTATTTTCAAATGAGATTTATTTAGTCCTATTAAAAGAAAAACTTGACTTTATTTTTCCAAATTAGGAGTGAATGAGTCCTATTTT